CCCCAAAACCCCAAAACCCCAAAACCCCTCTAACATAATTTCTCATTAATTATTGAGATTAATAGAATTAAGCATAAAATGGAAAAATAGGACGGAGTATTGCAAGAAATTGAAAGTTATCTTAAAGAAAGAAAAATTCAATAAACCCTTAATGAAAATGACTTTTTACTAAATTAATTAAAAGAAATAAAGACCTCTTAATAAGATGCAAGATTCATTTCAAAAGAATATGTATAGAGAATAGCTTCAATAGAAAACAATATGATAAATTTAATGGCGGAATAAAATGTAATACCCACTTTCATTGGGTCACAGTGAGGCATTAAAGTGTATTAATATTTAAGTTAGATAATTAATGTGTAATGAAATTAATTTTTAATAAACTTACTCTAAGCCAAATTTTCTTGAATCACTTTAGTTAGTTGTAATGTAAATTCTCAATGTAAATCACAATTATGGTACCTTTGTTTCATTAGTTATAGACTAATTGATTGGTGAAAGGTTATGAATCGATATTTCTCGAGTTAGTTTTAAGTCATGATCGGACTATAAAGCCATAGTCTATTTTACATTAATTATATTAGCTGCACTAGCGTTTCTAGCGAATGTTGATTTGAGAACAAAACTTTTTGGCGGACTCCTAGATACAGTGATTCTAGAGCTTATTCCGAGAGTATTTTAATTTTTATCTGTTACTTTCCTTAAGTAAAGGTGATTGTTATTTGAAATTGCCTTGATAACATTCTTAATATCTTGGTTCTTCTTCTTTTATGCTTCATTGACCACTAACTTACTTTGATACTAAATAAATCTATTTAGTTTAGCTACTGATGATTTAGTGTACTTAATATCCCCACTTAGGAATGTTTAACAGTTATCTAATACATTATCAACTAATTAGAGGTGTTGATGTTTTAGTCTGCCTTTCATGCTTGAAAACTAGGATTGATCGTTGATATTTTAAAGTAAAATAGAACCATTAATGAGATTATTATTTAGTCTATAAGGAGAAAGTATCTGAGATTGAAAAAGCTAATTAGAGTTAAAATCAGATAGTCCCAGATTTGATTAGTTTGACTCAATAGTAGGATTTCCTTACTAAGTAGGCATCAAAGTAATAAAAGAATTTTTCTTATCATTTTAAAGTATTGTTGAGGACTAATACTAATGTTTTATAAATGAACTAGCGTTTTTAGATGGAGGAGATATTTGATTTCTGCTATTCTAGTTGATAGTTGGAAGTTACATAGATTCTTACCTAATAAGCTTGATTCTTTTTTTATTTTAACTCTTTGATTCTTTCATTTTCTCCTCTGATTTCTTATATAGCAATGTTAGTTACCTCTGCATGTTGCTATTATCATCCGTCTTTTCTAACTCCATTTTAGAGTTTGACATTACTTAAACTGGATTAAATGGCTATTCTTTTTATATCTCTTTTTGAACAAAATCTCTTAGATTGCTGAGCTTATTTTTAATAATTTTCTTTTTTGTTTCAGTATCTTATTCCCCCCTATCCATATCTGAATCACTTTTGAATGAATCTTCTGTTCCAGCTCTTGATGAAAGCATATTTATGTACTGTTACTCCATAAGTTCATGAGCTTATTTTCTTTCTATTTCCTCCTACTCTATATGCCTTTGCTAATCAAACTTTTCCTGCCTCATTTTATCTAGAGACTCCCATCGCATTCTATTTTTTGATTTTTTCGTCATTAGTTCATACATTTTATCCATGATTTGTTTATTTTTACGGGTTGAGATATTATCATTACCTTTTACAACGTCATTGTAACCATCATCCCCTCCTCCTAGATAAACAAGATTTTTCTTTTTCTCGAAAACTTTCAGAAACTATGATAGTTCCAAAGACTAATTTCCACCAGTTTAAGACTTACTCATAGCTCTGTGATCTCTGTCGAAGGATTTGTTTCTTTCATGGATCATCTTTTTATTTTGTTCCATGAATTCATCATTTTTAATATAAGTTGATAAACTTTTGAATAACTCTTAGTCCTCATCTTCTGTTTAGACGAGTCTAGGAAGTTTAATCTTTTAACTCTATTCTAACTCTCTTTGCTTTTCCTGATCTTATTCTCTCTGAAATCTTAGCTTACTTAAGATGTACTCATAATACTTTTTATGCTTATTATTGCTCATATTTCTGATTATCTATTGAGAAGTACTCTTATTTTTTGAATAACTAGGTCTTAAATCAAACACCATGTCAGCTCTATCTTTTTCTCTTTTTGCAACCATCTATATTATTAATTCAATAAAGTTTGATGATAGTTACTTTGAGATCTAAATCGCGCTTTTTATCAAGAAACTTATTTATATTCAGATTTTATAGGTCAAAGTACTTCTTTTCCATATTATAGCAGATTATAAATATTCTATGTAAATCTAATTATTTAATCTCGAATAAACTAGGTCTATGTAATCTAGAACTAATTAACATTACCTTTTTAAATTATTCAAAAAAACTCCCTGCAAATATCATTTATAATCAGCATGGGGTTTTGGGGTTTTGGGGTTTTGGGG